AGAACGTGAATTTAACGATTACTGGGCGAGGGCGGTCAGATGTGTGATGTCCAAGACGATGTGCACGCTCTATTTCTTTGGGGTCTATGGTTATGTTCAAGTGATCACGACAGTGCCGGATGACGAGCTGTTCTGATTGGGCAAACGTTTCTGGTCCAGTGGAGTTAGGGATGCCATAGAAAATGAGGTTGTTGCGTCGAGAATGATTTTCGGCATCGTCGAAGCGTGCCTCCAAGCCACAGACCAAACGGGCCGTCTGAGCCGTCTCGATTTTTACATTTTCTAATTCGGTGCGCACGGGGGCGAGATTTTGATAATGGTTTTCGAGCGCAGTCATGCGCCCGCTTAAATCTGATATCGCTTTATCTGTTGTTAATAGCTGGGTTTTAAGGTCTTGTACCTCTGCAAGTAATTTCGATTGACCGGTGGATAGTTTTTTTAGCTCGGCTAGTATGGCGTTAGTATCAGGACCAGGATTAGTTTCGATGTCCCCCGATTGCAACAGCAAGGAACGGATGACATGGAAGCACTCAATCGAAATGACAACGCAACACTGCGGGCTCGGCAGCTGTATCAAAAAGTAGTTACTTGTTTTTTTAGAGAAAAGACTGCACGATTTACTAACCTGCACGAAAAAGTTGAACGGATTAGTGGTCTGCGTTGTGGCACAGCCACCGAGCCCACAGAGCGACATCGGCTGCGTCGGCTGGTTTATAGTGGGCGGGTAAGCGGCTGTTGATGACGATGGGGCCCTCCACACTTGGCCGAGGATCAATTGCTTGAGTAACGAGTCTGCCGGACGTGACGAGGCGTTGCTGATGGCCGGGTGGTAGCTGCTTGCTTGGTCTTCGTTGTTCCAGATTGTGCATGCTGTCGTGCCGTCCGAGGAAGCCAGCACCGGGAGCAAAGCGCGGAGGAGAATGAAGGAGAACATCTGCACGAAAAAGTTGAACGGATTAGTGGTCTGCGTTGTGGCACAGCCACCGAGCCCACAGAGCGACATCGGCTGCGTCGGCTGGTTTATAGTGGGCGGGTAAGCGGCTGTTGATGACGATGGGGCCCTCCACACTTGGCCGAGGATCAATTGCTTGAGTAACGAGTCTGCCGGACGTGACGAGGCGTTGCTGATGGCCGGGTGGTAGCTGCTTGCTTGGTCTTCGTTGTTCCAGATTGTGCATGCTGTCGTGCCGTCCGAGGAAGCCAGCACCGGGAGCAAAGCGCGGAGGAGAATGAAGGAGAACATCTGCACGAAAAAGTTGAACGGATTAGTGGTCTGCGTTGTGGCACAGCCACCGAGTGATAGGGGTATAAGTGACACGTCACTGTCTTTATGGGCACATGAGTATTCTTTTTTGTTACGGTGTTTACACCGGAATGAGCCGTGAATCTTTTGACTACGTTATATACATAAATGAGTAGTGTTTTTCAAATAAAAGTGAAATGTGAGTGGGCCCTTTTTTGTTTACTTTTTGTCGCTGTATTTGTTTTTTTGTTTTTTCGGCGCTTACCTATGTGCTTATGATTTTCACTTGTTTGCGTCTCGAGATTTTTTTGGGGGAAAACAATATATGAATTTGTTTTTGCAATAAACAAGGTGATGAATGGCATGTAAATGTGTTAGTGAATTCCCAATATCGACCAGACTCCCAGTGCTTTTATCTCGGCTGAAACTATCCTACTATATTTCATATCTATACCAGTATATCATATAATATCAGGTATGACGCCACAGAAACGACTAGCGTGGCAATACTTGGCAATCCTAGGGACCTCACTTGTGCCCAATACGGTTTTTCTTCAGGCTATATTTACTGTTAGAATATATTGCCGAAGTGCCTGACCTCAGTCGAAGATGCCACGTATGAATCGAAGAACCAGCTGCGAAGACTATATCTGGCACTTGTTCCAAATATGTTAAACATTGCCACGTGAAAACAGAGAAATAATGTATAGGCTAAAGCAGGGAACACATGTGCAGAAAAAACGAGCACCGTACGCTGATTCCCATAGCAATAGCCCAGGACGCTGTGACGTGGACCTATGCCATGCCGCCACGTCACAGCGTCTTCGCACGTTTGCATGGAAACTGCGGATTGGCGCCCGTTTGTGTCGCTCACGTGTTCCCTGCTTAACACGGGCACCTGTTTGGCCATTTAGGCCCAAAGATGTGAGATGACAGCCAAAGTTCAAGCAGTGAAGCATAACTTTGGAGCTTGTTTTGTGAATTAAGCCCAGATACCCAGACCGGGCAGACCTTAGCCAAAGAAGGTAAAGTTTCTTTAGCTAGGGTCTAAGTATCTTAGCCTTAACTAGCTTGACTCTACCTTGAATTCTTCGGGCTTTTCAAAACTCTGAATCTAAGAGAAATATCAAATTTCGCCCAAATCAAATTTGCCAGCTGGGATATCCTTCAATTCGCTGCTTATTAAAAAGGATAATATTACGAAACAAAGTCGCGAACGCTGTGAATTTACAGAGTAGGAAACGAATATGAGCAAACCTGTTCTCTGAAGGTCGGAAGGACTTGTAAGCTGCTTAGCGTCATTCCACCAGCAAAGGTGCCAGGTAATTTCACTAGACATTAAATAGATATTCCTTCCATCAACCATTGCAACTTCCAAGGCTAAGACAATTATAAGACCCGAACTTAATCTGGCTCCAGTCGTGTTTCACGATAGCCGTAGGGAGGTTTCTGAACCTAACATAATTGTCTCTGAAGTGCACAGCTGTCGAGTTTGAGGGGCATAAATTTGCTCCAAAGAAAGGAATTTGCATCGGATCGTCCCCGGTGCCGGCTTTCTCCGAGATATATTTGGCTCCGTTGGACTTGGCCCTTGGGCAAGTGGTGCAATCGTTCCCTGAGGGTCGGTAATGATTAAGAGATACTTTGATGACGCTTTGGTATGCTAGGTCGTGAAGAGGGCACTACCTTAGGTCAAAGCATTCGTAGTACAAGCAGCGCAGTAGTTGACGTTTAGCTATAGTGTTAGAAGAGATTCAGTGGAGTGGCGAGGAAAAAAAAGGAAGAAACCAGACAGGGTTGCATACATTCCCTTTTTCTATAATTTCTCACACATCTAGTTTGCGGTTACCGGAACGTTCAAGGTCAACGTGAGCTTCACATCTGACTTTAAGTTGAGCAAGCTCACGTTGGTCACATGGTTGTCGAAAATAGCACAGAGAACCCTCTGCTGATTGCCAGGTTGGTGCAGGGTATGATATGCCAGTGGCTCGTGCGTTTTCAAACCGGGGGGGGGGGGGGGGGGGGGCAGTCGAAACGGCGCTTAAATGATACTCCTTTTGAGCAGATGAGGACTGCTAAGAACAGGTCTCGGAACTCTGAGATCGGTAAACGTGCGCAAGAATGCAATAATTACTTGCCTGATTGGGGTTGCACTGTTATGCCATGAAAAAAAAAAAGATTGTGCAAAAATATTCCTGAAGGAAACAATCAGGATTGCTTACGTAGGCACTTCTATCAGTCCAACGTCGTTCATAGTAGATGGGGCAACACTGAAGGTTTGTGCTTTTGTAATTTTTTTGAAAGAAATGGTATTTGTTCTTTATGTCGCCTTGTCAGGCATCTGGGTGATCTTTTGTTGTGGTGGCGGCGGTTACGCCGGCTCGGTGTTTCGAGATTGTGTGACGTGTTAGACGCGCGCAATTTTCTAGGCAACTGCAAAACACATCGGGTGCGCAACGAACTGATAAGTATATTTTGCTGAATGATACACATTCTGAGCCTTACTCATTTCAAAATACTATACATTACTAGATATACTATGCCATACCTTAATGCATGAACGATAGCGTAGTCTCTCATGCAGCGATACGTGTGCATTGTAATGTACACATATCGTGCATAACATTGTAATGTAAAAGTTCCTAACAACAAAACAAATATTAAGAAAAGAAGGGCGAGACATGGAAGATCGGCCGTTTGTATAAAATGTAGAATATAGCAAATCTAAAAAAAAAAATTTTCTAGAGATGGGAACATTTACAACAGCTATAGTCCAGCTTAGTCGTGGTGCTCAGACTTTAGCCTTGTCATTGTCAGCCTGTGGACCGTAATGTTTTGTCGTGGCGAAATGAGCACGCGAGCTAGAATGTTGCGGAGCGTCGGGGTGCGAACGTTCCGGCTTGGGTTTGAGTCTTAAAGCGATAGAGGGTTGCCGGCGACTTCTCTCTAGTTTTGTGAACTTTCCTTCAAAACAGGCATTAAACCTAAATTTCTATTCCTTCTTAATCTTGGGTCGAGTTGCCGTTGCAAGTTCCAGCGGTTCAAAAAGAACGAGTTCCCGTTATATTTCTAAGGTTTGAACGGGTCGTTACGTCACTTTACATTTCTGTATTTTTATGATATATTGTTTTACATAAGTGGTAAATAAAACAGTGTAATCAAGTGAAAATATTCATATTGGACGATTCGTCCAGTTATTTCATCACGTTTATTTTATTTATTTCTTTTACACATGAAACTCTAGGTTAAAATAGTCGCTAACAAATAATGTATGCCTATCAAATTATGTGAAAATTGCATAAAGCAACACCGTTCCTGCTTTCCTTCCCCTGAAAATGTCGAGGCTTCGTCCCAGTTACAGCGAGGCCAAGTGGGACGGTGTCGTTCCTCCGTTCCTTCTAAAAAGGTCGCGTTCACCAGTCTTGCTCGAGTTTCAACGAGTCGGTGCTGGTTGCTGTCTGTAACCTGTCATCCCTGTCCTGGTTCGGCGCGTGTCCGAAGCGCCCAGCCCAAGCTGCCGGCTGTTGGCTGATCCGTGCTCATCTTTCTGTGGTAGTTCCCGTCCGCATCTCCTCTGTTATACTCCCTGAACCTTCTAATCATATCCACGCCATCGCAACCATAATATACCACACAATACCAAGCTTTAGTGAGTTACCCTTGGCATAGATTTTAATATAAGGTCATGTGCCAAGGTTTTGTACTCGGGAGGTACCAACTTTTAATTCCAATTTTAAGTGATACTTGGCGGGCTTACCTGCGCAACACCAGGCGAACTCCATGTCCTCGAGTATTTCCCGTCTTTAGTTTGAGTTCGTGGACGACTTCCAAGCAACAATCGTCTGCGATGCCTGTGCTGGATTTTCCGTTAGACAACTCCACACAGATATCGTACACGTGGGGCGCTGAAAAAAAAGTTAAAAGCACACTCAGGTCGGAAAAGTATGCAAATATGGGGTGCACCTAATTTAATACACTTTTATATTATAAAATTCTAAGGTCTCAGATGGTGCCACTTAACCTATGAAATTTCACACCGACTTGTGTTATATAGAAAGTGATAGATCAAGGCTAAATTTTTCCAAGCTGCAACTAAAGGCTCGTTCACACTCTTGCGACCTCTTAGAACTGGGTGCCTTGAAACCTCTTGCAACGAGAGGACACTTTGTTGGGTAGCAGTGTAAACTTGGCGGTCCGGCATATTTTCTATTTCTCTCGCGCATTATCTTTTCTTTCTTGGCCCGAAAAACCTTTGTCAACGTTTTAAACGAGCCTTTCTCATAGGCATTACGCACATTAGACCTCGGAAATTTAACAAAACCTCCGCACTTGGGAAATGCAGTTCCAGGGTCACCGCATAGATGGCGCCAGAATGCCAGTGCGTTCCCTCCTCCTAAGAAATTTTAAGAGGTTTCAACAGGTCTCGTCTCTCTCGGTCGTACTCGGTTGCAAGAGTGTGAACGGGCCTTAATGAGCGAACCGTGCAACAAATATACTTATATTTTGCTCAATATGAGTATATATTCAGTATGAATATGCTGGACGAGATAGGCTACGTGCTTGCGACATATTTAAATTACATTCGAATTCACCATTGCCTGAAAGGGCAATGCGCAGCCTAGTTATATGAACACGCCCAGATTCCATTCTCAGTGCGGTTATATTTCCCGCTAGCACATTGAGGGCGGTTTAATTGCACTCTACACCCAGAGTTCAGAGGGCCACGAGAGGTAAAATCACAATAGCAGGCTTGTTAGCAATTAAGCTTTTCTCTCTTTTTTAGAAATGTAAAACTATGGAAGTGTCAGTACTGTCTGTCTTTTCTTGGCAGTATGTCAGTCAACGATTTTTTAGGTACGTGATTCGAAAGCGTGCAGACACAAATTGGGCTTGAATCGAGAGCGCGTCTGTGCGCCCAAGCTATTCTTGGAACCATATGCTCCTAATGTTGGGCCATAATCTCCTAAACTGTGGACGTGCATAACTCCCATTTCTCGCCACTCTACAAATTGGTAGTAGTTCAGTAATAGGTGCGTGAGGAGACTGCTATAAGCTTCTTTTTCACCATAAAGTAAGACGCGGCATTTCGTCGTTTTAGAGCGGCGATCTTTCTATACTCCTTTTTCGTGTAGTTGTCGCCATCTTTAATCGTGGAACTTCCGCTTTGGGGAAGTATTGTTTAGCGGCGAAGCTCCTTAGGGTCTAGCCTTGTCCGTCCGGCGCCCGTGCTCACATCGATTGCCATCCCATCTGTCTTCTTAGAAACGAAACAAAATGTTTGCGCAGTCGACTGGATTCGAACCTGTGCAGGGAGACCCCAATGTATTTCTAGTCCATCTCCTTAACCACTCGGCCACGACTGCGGGACGAGTAGGGGGCTCCGAGATGTGGCAGTAGCTCAAGAGCTGAGGATGTCATGGATTAAACGTTGCATGTAGCCGCTCAACGTCTATACAAGAGAGGGCGCTGCGGTCAAATCCGTATTTAACCGCGTTAATCTTTGCATGCATCGGCTCAACGTTTAAGACGAAAAAAAAGAAATCAGCACCATCAGCACTACCTATGTACAAAATTAGTATCATCAGCACCATCAGAGCTTCGCCCCAATCAACATCATTCATTACGTGGAGATGCGGCCATTTTTTTTACTGCGCCAGGCAACTGGATCGTGTTAACTTTTTATTCCGACTGTCAAAATATAATTTTACTGGTTCCAGGTTGTGATATCTTTCTTATTTTTGTCTTCCGATACCCGATATGTGAACTACGTGGCTGAGGGCGAAGGTAAACGTAAAAAAAAAACAAATCTAGTCTCCGTTCACGTCTAAAGGCTGCTTCACACATTTGACACTGCTTACCAACGAAGAGGCTCAAAGCTGGCTTTTAATTTCTCTAGTAACTGCTCAGGATCGCTCCGCAGACGGTCTTAACGAGTCTCAAAAGGATTAAAAAACGTATTTTTGTTTTGTTTACGGTGCTAAGCAGAAACAAGTTCAATTAAGTGATTTATACAAAAAAAGAACAGATGCGCACACGGCAGCGCGCAAGGCAGAGCAGAAAGTAAAAACCCTTGCGCAAGAGCGCCTGCGATCTGCCGCCGCGTAAGCTGGGAGTTCCAAGCAACACACCATACATACGCTGCAGTTCTGCTGTGGGGTCCTGAATCTGGGTGGGGCCTTTAAGTGACCGCATCAATCGGTTTTGTTACGCATCATACTACGATTTACCACAGGTGCCTGGAGATGGTGGAATCATTGAATCAAAATTTCAAAGAAAAAATTTCACAAGTAAAAGGTAAAAAAAAAAACAAAAAAACTATAACGGCTTTTCTCTACATACAACGCCCCTCTTCTAACTGTGCGTGCACCCTCTGACTGACGCCAACCCCGAAAGATGGCGATATCGGCCCCGAAGGCTTACGGCAGCTCAGCGGCTGCCGGGTCGAGGCGAAAGCAAAGAACCTTTTCGAATCATAAACAGCGTAGGTTTTCGGTGCTATGATGGTCAGTACAGTATCTCCTTTTTGCTCCCAATAAAACATTAAATGAACAAAACGGCTAAAAACGATAGTTCACCGAGTACATTCAACTACATGTCGTCTGCTTTTGTCGCGACCGGGCGGCTAATGAGCTGCCGTAAGCCGCCGGGGCCGGTGCTGTCATCTATCAGGTGTTGTGCCAGTCAGAGAGAGCGTCTTTCGCACACGAGCGCAATAGATAGTCAAAACCACATTTTACTTTTTACTCGGGTAAGTTCGTTCTTTGAAACTTTTTATGCGATTGTTGCACCACCTTGAGGCACTTCTGCGGTAAATCCTAGCGTGATACCTGATAAAGCTAATTTACTCGGTGATTCAAAAAGCTTCACCCGGATTCGGGACCCCGCAGTACATCAATACTATTAGTAAATACAGTGAATAGTGCTGATCTTGCGTTCACCGATACATTGCTGTATCATTGCTAAGTAAAGTTCAAGTCAGAACTGTTTAATACCCATTCACACGGCAGCGTAAAGGTACCTTTGGCACAGGTACCTGTTGTAAAAGGAGCTGGAGATCGTAATCACACTGCGCATAAAGGTCCCTTTCGCTAAGGGAGGTCCTGTGTCAACGGAGCTCATCAAGCTCCTTTTGCAGCTACATGGAGTAGCTTTGGACACATGAACTCAGAATAAAAAAAGTCACATATATATATATAAATATCTTGTTTAATTCATTATAAAAAACTGAATGTATATAAGTAGCAAATTATGAAATGATTGTGAACACAAATCTGATGGAATAATACATTATCGAGGAACGGATACTCCAGCTAGCAGGTAGCAGCATTGTCTGCTACGAACCCGAACGCGATAGACCACTGAGAGCTCTTTCTCGAGGTTGTACAAGAATCGTCCGACTCTCCCGCCCAGGATCTTTTATCCTCGTCGTCGTCCATCTCTTTCGATGGCGTGACTGGCGTAACCGTGATACTCCGACGGGGTTTGTTTCTGCCGGACACGATTTAGCTACTTCACTGAGAACTATGAGTAAAAACAGAGCTGCTAAACAGAAAAAAGGTCTTCCACAACGCAATGGAAACTCGTAAACGCAGATGATTTAAGGCCAGTGTAACAAAATAGGTCGGCCGTTTCAAAGCAAGACTGATGAAGGTGCAGACTTAGAAAAAAAAGAAGTGCCGCAAAAGTAAACACAAATACTATTTAGGTTTTATTGTGATGTTCGATACACAATAATCAAAAACATCGCGTCAAACCGATTTCGAGGAATAATTGTTTATCACGTGCTCCTCTCGCAGTTTAGCAGGAATGCAATCGATATCAACTTGAAGTGTTCTGTGCATTTATCGTATGACGAAGAACGTCGTTTTCTGCAGGTACCTTCTGCTAAGGGCATCTTCCCTAAGCTAAGAATGAATTTACGCTGTCGTTTGAATTGAGTATTAGTGGAGATTTTGCTCTTTGGTGTGATTGTGAATCGTCCTTTATAGACATTTTTCAAAAAGGCGATAACTCTCATATGCGACTCCAGCTTTATTTTGATCTCAGCATGTTTGCAGTGAATACGAGTATGATGAGAATCAGAGGGGAAAGAGTGCGGGCGAGCTGGGTAGAACGACATAGCTGAAAACCCACTAATTGTGTAAGGGTGCAGAGAATTATTTATTATAAAGTAAATTGCTAGAGATATATATAAATTTGGATTTCTTAAGCGTACATCCAGGCATTCAAGTATGCTACAGTTTTTGCCATGAGTCGTTTTAATTCGAAAGCATTCACTGGTCCCATGGGGCGATGCCGGCGTGGCCTATAAGAGCGAAAAACGGCACCTAAATTCTCATTGGTTGAGCGAAACGGCGCCTAAATTCCGACTGGCTGCGACGCATCATGTGGCTGCATAGCAACGGCGTCATCGTTTGCTAAGAAGCGAGCCGAACTTGCGGGCGGCGCAGCGGGAGAGGGGGAGGGGGGGGGGGGAGGGACGCGAATATGCGCTGGCCTGACGTTAGGCCTAACGTAAGGCCTATCGTTGCGTTCGAGATCTAACGTCGTCAACCGGTACCCGCAGCTAGAGCGATGATGATGATGAGAGAAGACGTGATTTCAGCAGGCGCCGCGCCGAGCTTAGCACCCCCAGCGTCGCGACGAGATTCGCATTCCCACCGCTGCTTCACCCAGCGGCGCAGCAGTCGCCAGCGAACTAGGGCGGTCTGCGCGGCACACCGCCACACCAGAGCCGTATATTGGGAGAGTTTGGCCAGTGGGTGTGGCGACGGAAGCGCCGGAGAGGAGAAAAGTAGATGAAAGAGAGGAGAGCGCCGAAGGAGCGAGAGAGAAGGAAGGGAGCAGAGAGGAGACGACCGGCATTTTTTAGCAACGTTGTTGGAGACTGGTCGGAGAAGAGCAC